AAGACTGAGTGATGGAGAGGTGATTCTTTACTTGGGGACTTGTACAAGTGTTGCAGCTACAGCCATAGGGACTGTAGAATTGTATTTCAGAGAATGATTAATTACACTAAAAGATTGTCATTATGTACATTATGATATTTAATGTAAATGAATAAAGTACATATTTGATTTATGTTATTATGGTGTGTTTCTGTGTAATACCCTTAAATTGAACACATATGAGACTTGTGTTAATTTAGAATCTTCACAGCCATTGGATAGATGTAGGGAGATTTATCTTGACAAGGCTGCCGCCAAGTTGGTTGGGGTGGCTTGTCTCAGCTGCTAGGGTGAGACCTGAGGTGCATACAGTATGGGTTTTCTTGAAACCCTGAATCGGACCAGAATTCTAGTATTGCCCTGGACCTTGGAGATAGATGGGCAGAACTGGAATGTTACACCTGACCCCTAGACTCGATTATGATATTACACTAGGTGTATGATTATGTTGTCTTTGATATGCCAATCAGTGAGATCCTTAGAGGGAGTGAAAACCTGGGTATGTTGGGACAGTTCGAGAATTCATTTGAGTGGGTGATCGTAGTGACAGGATCAGCCCCTTTGTCAGACAAAATGAATGATTGGGGATGCACTCTCTTTGATAGAAACCTAAACTGTCGGCAGTTGATTTCAACCATTGAAAATTGTTTTGTAAAATATATTTATATAGAGATATACATATAGATTATGGTTTCAAAATGTTTGTAAAAAGTTTTAATTTTCGGGATCGATGTGAGTAGAGAGTGCAGCATTGTACCTTGCAGCCGAGGGAGAGGTCATCTCTTGTCGGGCAGTGTTTGATCATTATGGGCTGAGAGGTTAAGTGTAAGACCATTGAGGGTAATACCTGATGGGCTAATCTTGCATCTGCCCACAGTCCTTGGGTTTTTATAAGGTGGCTTGACCCAAGGACCATTTAGTGTAAATGTTGGGCCCATTAAGAGCTCATGGTGATGGACTCAGGGGTTCACTGTTTCCTACAGTGAATTCAGCCAGGCCTTATAACAAAGGCTGGGCTGAACCCATGTGGCTGATGTGCATATCAATGTTTGGGTCCCACGCCATACAAGGATATCCAACTGGGCAGCAATTTGGAGGGTAAGTGAGCAGATTGACTTAATGGGCCTGAAGCCCAATTCGAACTGGTTTAATGAGATTAATTAAAAGATGGCGGTTCTGGGATTTATATCAGCAGATAGGATATGGGATTAACCCTATCCACTCAGAGAGTCTAGATCCAAATAAAGATTTGGATCAGGAAACTCCTAATAAGATTAGGAGGTTGATCTTTATCTGCAGATAAAATAAGGGATTATCCTTATCTCTTAAGGAGAGTCTATATCCAAATACAAGATTTTGATTAGGAAACTCCTAATGGGATTAGGAGAACCTCTCTTTAAGGCTATAAATAGGAGAGCAGGGTGAACTCTAAAAAAAACAAAAATCATCTAAGTGACTACTGATTTCCAAAGAGAGACAATATAGTTTGATTGCACTGTCTCCTTCTCTCCTTCTCTTGCCGCCATACTAGTTCGATCTCCACCTGTGGGAGCGATCGAGAAGAGTTCTTGATATTACCTTTTGGCAGAAAAGGTAATATGAAGTCGTGCTCTCTAGCCCTCCATCAGATTCTTGCTGAAGAATTTGGTTATTGTTGAAGAACCATCATGTTGATTCTGCTTCATCCTGCACTGTGTCATCTTCGATGGAATCAGTCTTTGGATCTTTCCTTGGGCGTGAACACCTTCATTGGAGGTTATATTATTTCGTATAAGGTATATCCCTCCACTCCCTTTTGGTTTCAGATTTGGTTTGGTTTAGGTTCAAGATTGATCATTGAAAATGCAATTTTCTAAAATAGAGAATGTGATTCCTACATGGGAGAAAGATAAATTTTTGAAATTTCGCCAAACCTTCCTATAGGGTTCGGTCATCCATATGATGGATCTTTCATCCCTTCATTGATAGTGGACATGACCCACTTTAAGATTTTAAACTTAAATATTTTGGCAATGGGCCCTACTGATATGTGGGACCCACTATGTTGATTTGTTAGTGGACGTGACCCACTTTAAGATTTAAAACTTAAATATTTTTACAGTGGGCCCCACTAGTTTGATTTGATAGTGAGAATTTAGATTATATTTTAGTTATCTATTTAGATATATATTTTTTATAACTAAGGTGGATAGGATCTACCGATTGAATCTTAACTAATTTAGTGGGTAATGTAATTCATCTTCTTAAAGTGGATAAGATCCACCTCATATGACAGTGGGTCCCTTTGTAATAGTTGGCAACAAACTGAAACAGTGGGGTCCTAGGGGTCTATCATTTACAAACGACAATATTGGTTTGTAGCAAATCAGTACATCTATCCTCCTTCTCAGGTCTGCAACACATGTGGTGTCCCCCTTTTAAGTGGATAAGATCCACTGATAGTGGGACCCAGCAGCCTACCATTTACAAGTGGCAATATTGATTGCAGCAAACCAGTACATCTGTCCTCCTTCTCAGGTCTACAACACATGTGGTGTCTTATTTTTAACTGACAGTGAGACCCAACAGTCTGCCACTTACAAGTGGCCATATAGTCTGCCATAGTAACATGTGCCCCCCTCTTCAAGTCTCCAACAGTGTTGCAACAGGTGGCAAAGTGCTAAACCAACACACCTGTTATATTTTTAGGTAGATAGTAGTGTGCAACAAGTGGCAAAGTGTTGTTATAGATCAGCACACCTGTCCCATTTTATGTGTATTGACAACACTGGGTTAGTCTACTGAAATATTTTGAGGTGGATAGAATCCATTGAAATATCAGAGGCTCCCCAGATATACATATATATTTAATTTGAAATAAGCTTTTGAGTTCTAACAGAACTCTAGAGAGAGAGAGAGAGAGAGAGAGAAAATAAGGAATGAAATAGATAAAATTTTAAAGTGATAGTAGGAAAGAATAAGATTTATACATGTATAAGCCTATCCTTACACCTCAATCAGTCGAACTTCAAATTCCCTCCTTTATTTTTTCTATTACTCTCTCTTCTTTGTTTTTTTCTCTTTCTTTCTTATCTCTTTCTCTCCTCCCTTCTCTCTATCTGCCACCCAATTCTCTTCTCCTCTCCCTCTTATATAGAGGGAGACAATTATGGGGTGGGGAGGTTAGAGCAACCTCCCCACTCTTCATACATGGGGTGGTTGCTTAACTCCGCCCATAACCAAAATTTAAAATTTAAACTTATGTGGAGTGGGCTAGCTATCAAATATGCCCCCATCGAGCTTTATTTATTTTTATTATTTTTTTACATCATATATTTTTAATAATAAACAATTGAGCATGCCTATAAACGGGCTCTTTGGTGTCTTCACAATTCTAATGGAATGATCGACTACTAATACAACGAATGATGTAATTCTTATTCTTGAATAACCTGGATAGTATTGATTACAAAGCCAACTAAATTCACTATCAAATCCAATGGACTGCTTCCCTTGAAAAACAAGCAAGCAATAAGTGTAATAGTGTATTCAGTAAAAAAAATAAAGGATTTCAATTTTTATGAAATAGAATTGTCTCTTAATTTGATATTTTGATCTAATAATGTTGATAGGGCATGAAAAATGGCCATTGGCAGCTGGGTCAACATTTCACTGACCCTACTCCTGTAGGTTGTTTATCTTGCAAGGTGGCATGGGCTTGTCACTGAAGCATTGGTTGTGGGCGTAAGCAGCCACAAGGAAAATGTTGACTGTCACCCTTGTGGTATCCCTCCACAAAGTTTGTTTGCCTTGAAATATGCATGCCTGAGACTCTGTAGGCCTAGAAAGCTGTATGGGGTGCCACTGAGAGCATTGATGTCTTGCCACTAAGAGCATTGATGGACAAGTCAAACCATTGCAACTTTGGTAATTGGCCTAAGCTTGCAAGGATGGTGCCCTTAACCTAGTTCCTTGAAATATCAACCCTTTCTAGTTCAATCAAGTTTGGGATTTGACTTGAAATTCTATTGCTTGCCAAGTTCACCAGTTTCAAACCCGAACCTTCACTGAACTCTGGAATCTCACATGTGATTTGATTGTTTAAGATGTCTACAAGCTCCATAGATATGATTTTGTTAGTGTTTAAAAGCGTTGATAATGGCCCATAGAGTTAATTTGAGTGGAGATCAATAGAGGAAAGCACATTTGGTAATGCAATCTCTAAAATGTTCAACCTCAATTGGTTGTATGTGAGCTTAATCTTATGTAAACTTGACATGTTTGTGAAGAAATTCAAAAACCCACCTTGAAGAAAGTTGTTAGAGAGGTCAGTGGAGTTCAAAAAAACCCCATTGTCCCAAGCATCGAATGTTACTTCTTTACCTGGCCGGAGTAAGCTTCAACGATGAAAAAGTCAACGATTGCCTCTTCTTGAGTCAATGGAGTGAAGGGACATTGAAAGAGGATGAAAAAATGACAAAGACTTTATAGGATTACTCTTTTCTGAGACGGATAGAGTTTGGATGAAAGATCAAAGAGCTGCATTCCTTGTACGATTGAGTTCGGGATTAGAAAAGGATAAATAGGTCGAAGGGAGTTTTTTGGTCGATTTTCAAATGATGGTATTCAGTAAAAATATATTAACTTACAAAAGGGTAAAATGGACATTTCAAAAAATTGATGCAATGGTTTAACGTTTTCCTTACGGAAGGGAGGTTTTGTCGGGGGAGGTTTTTGTTAAAATGAAACTAAAGGGGAGGCTTTTATGATTATCAGAAACCTTAGGGGATGTCTTTGCATTTTACCCATTTATCAAAAACGTCACCGGGTATAAGTATTTTACTATTTTACCTATTAAATAACACAAAATTGTTTATCAGTTTTGTCAACAACCAAACGTAGCTTTGAATTGGACGTCGAGGATCGAATGGGAAATTCAACGGAGGCAAACCAAAAAGACCGCGAAATGGATAAAAGTCTCTAGGTTTATAGTACAGGGCTGTATATCTTTTCCTCATTTCTCATTCCTTTTATCCCGTTGGTTTCTGAAGTCTGACAGACAGCAATTGGGGTAAGATGCAGACGGGCGAGACATCAGAGCAAGGAGCCAGGCCATGGCTATCATACCACACCGTATACACAAATGCCAAAGCAGGTATAGAATTCTTGATCGGTGTACAATTTTACGGTTCGAATAAATAAACCTATCGAAGAAATTTATCATTCAAATGGGTTCATCTCGGTGTTGTTTTTTCGACATTTTCTTTATATTCCATAAAAATATACCAATTGGGGGTTGGTATTGAAACAATATCTCGTTGAAAGTTGAAACTCTAGAAGGCAGGTTGGTGGCACTTACAATCATTATGAACTTATTTATTTGTTTTTTCTTTATGCAGAATGAATCATTAGATCTTACATTCTTTTGTGATTATTCGTTTGTTTTAGTAAACAAGAAATAGAGCAAATAAATAGACAACGACTACTAGATTGAACGCGGTTTGGCTATCTGTTCCTACGTCCACAGATGAACCCCGCCAAAATTTCACTAGGTTGTCAACTGGAATTACAAACCTAGCTTCTTCTTACTAGCTCTTGAAGAACAATAGTTCTCTCATTAACCGCAGTTTAATATCAATAGAGAACGAAAATACTCCGAACACCCTTGTATGGGCAGTAGTATCAGCAAATAATTGACTAACTCTACCCCTGCTGTTTGACTATTGTCTAATTGTCTTAAAGTACCCCTACTGTTTCTGACTTGCCATCGTTAAATCATAATAGAAAAAATAAAATATCGAATTTGCCCTCTACTATTTTTCAAAATTTCAAAATAAAACTCAATTGATAAAAAATTTCCAGAAGATGAATGACAGACGTTAAAGAGGAAAAAAATCAAATCAGGAACAACTGATGAATCTACAAACATATGGACTGAATAACAACTGACAAAACTTCTTTGAAAGAGAATGAGAAATCAAAACCACCTCTCCACACGTGGGTGCCAGAAACGTTCCCAGATGAAACAATGTATAGACAAACCTCTTTGAAAGATAACGAGTAAAGAAGAGATCCACGATGAGATATAACAAATAAAACAATCAAAAAGGGGGAAAATTGAAAAATCCAACCCCTCGTATTATCTTTGGTCAAAAAAATCCAAAATCTGATGCATTTGTTTCTATTGTTATTCCTTTTTTTTCATCTTTTATAGATCTCCCTATGATACTTAATGCATTTATTTTCTATCTGTTATTCCGAAAAAAGATCTTAGAAGAAGCACAGAAGCACAAGCGGAGGCCGAATGGGCTAGAAACAAAATGGGAGTGGGCAGGGGCAACGTGACTTCAAGGCGACAGTTTGGAACAAACATCGCGACTTTCCAAATTGCAACTTTCCATTCTCCAAATTGTCTTTCCAGATTCAAATCATTTTGGTTCAAAATGAAATAAATAGATAAGAGAAATTTTCTCCTTAGTTTTTCAATTCTCCCCTCATGTAGCTAGAATCCACAAAGAAGTGAAGCGAATAAAGTCTTGCAACTTAGGTTTGTTGACACTACCAGCATTTTTGCTTGAGATTGTAGCAAAGGGAAGCTCACAGATAGCAACAGAGTCACCATAACTTGTAGTGAAATGTGATACCCGCACACCACTGCTCCCAACAACTATTGTGAAAAGGTCGGAATCGTAGTGTCGAGGCTCCGTGCCGTTTTTGAACTCCTCTCGGACTGTGAAGAAATTATTCACTCCCCCATTGACTAAAATTGAATAATGGCAAGAAGAGAGGCAACCATCTATCCATTTACACCATTTGTCTCCAAAGCTGCACTCCCAAAGCACCTCTAATAGAAAGCTACACTACCAAATTGTAGGCCTTTTCAAGATCCAATTTGCAGACAAAACCTCGAGTTCCCGATCTTCTCATCTCCTCAACACACTCATTTGCTATTAAGATCTAATCAACTATTTGTCTTCCTTGAACAAAAGCATCCTGAGCTTGACTAGTGAGAGAGGGAAGCACATTTTTGATCCTCAAGGACAAGACCTTATCCAAAATCTTTTGTAGGTTTATTCCTCCAGTACTGATTGTTGGTTAGGTGAAGTTGTTGGACAATGTATGCCTCTAGCTCAATGAGAGCTCTTAAGGCAGCTCTCTTGACACTCCATGACCAATTGGTAATGGTGGCATGCCTTTTGATGCAGGATGAGGCATCTTATGGGTGAATGATGGGCCCATTAAAATTGCTCAGCAACCAAAGGCAGAGGTTATAACATTACTTATGGGAGTTAGGATTGTAAAGCAGAAATGCTTCTCCACTTCCATAAAAAATGAGGGCTTGTTTGTTTCTTCTAAACTCTTATATCTTAAGAGGAATTTTTTAATTTTAAGAGAAAATTGGGTGTTCGTTTCCTCTTATCTCTTATTTCTTAAAGTGCAATCATACAACCTTTTGTTTTCCAATTATACCCCCCAAAAGACAAACAAAAACTCTCATATATAGGGTCAAAATGGACATTTGATGATTTTCAGAATTCAGAATTTAAAACAACATTCTTTGCATTCAGAGTTCCAAGGAAAGAAAAGTTCACCAATACCAATATACCTCTTAATGTAATTATTGCACTTTTAGATGTCGGACTTCAGAGCAAACGAATAGGCCCTGACTCTTTAAACGCAATCAGGTGGAGCAGGAAAGTTGGCAGTGGACCATGGAGACTTGTTTATTTTTCAACAAGATAAGGGGAGCCATGGAGTTTATTATTTCAGCTCAGATCAGATTGATTCCAAGGGAACTAAATGTAATAGTTGATGGGCTTGCTAAATCAGGAATTTGCATTCCTGTACACCTTCTCATGTACCTTTTCTCTAATAAAAGTTTAGAGCTTCCTTAGAGAATTTTTTTTTAGAATTTAGTGAAGTTGAAATTGCAGGTTTGTCACTTTTCTTTTAGCCTAAGTTTTAGGTTGGCAAAACTTGTCATATTGGCATTTTGTGTCATTAGCTGTGACTCTCCTAAATGGATGAAGTCTGTATTGAACACTTGTTGAACTCCAATGCTCCATGGATTCTTGAGTGACAATTCCATGTGACACTTTATTTCTCTTTAATTATTCAACATAAATAAACAGCTAATGTACACAATGAATGCTATTTTCCTATAAAATGTTTTCAAGTAACAAAGACAAACTTCTAGACCTTTTCTAGAGGTTTATAATGTTAAGATTCAACAAATATGGATTGCTTTAGTAGTTTATTTATTTTTATCAATTTGTTTTAGTAGTTTATTCTTTCTATAAATGTGCTCATGAGTCCTTGTTTCTTTGTCTTGCTGAGCCAGGCTCCAGGACATGTGTCAGATTATGGTTCCTGTGTCCATGTCCATGTAACATCAGTCATTAGATAGGCTATTTAGTTATCTATACTAACATATGGATGGAATGACCTGGGGTAGTTGTATGTTGTGAACTTGTCTACATCTGGACATAACCAAAATTGATCTCCCCACTTAGCGGAATAGTGAATGTAAATTGATGGCTGTTCCTTGGGGATTTTAGGACCTGCAGAGGAGTTGCTTTTAGAGATGCATCATAGGAAATCTTCCTGACCTATTCAGGCCCTATTGGCTATGACAGCTTTCTCAGGGCTAAAATAAAAAGCATTATTACAAAAATTTAGGGTTATGATAGTTTTAGATGTTTAGAATATGGGGTGGAGGAAAACTCTTAGGTGGTAATCAGCTAGGTTAGGATGGTGGTGAGGACCCTTGGGAATTCCAAAGTTTTGTGAGGGAGTCTAGAGCTTTGGCATCAAAAGTTAACATCTTGCTTATGGATAGGAAGCTTCTCCTCCAGGATAGCTTTTTAACCGCAAAGGCAAGGTGCTTTGGCAGCTAATTCCTGGGGCTGTTTTTGGGTGTTTTGGATGGAGATGAACAGAAGAATGCTTGACAACTATAGGGACATCACAATTCACAGCTAAGATCTTCCCCTGGACCTCAGTCTACAGAAATTTTCAAAAATCCTCTCATACTTCTATTTTAGACCTCAGTTTTTTTCCCCTCTTTTGAGTTTTGTTCTTTTTTGTAAGTAAATATGAGAAGATTTCTACTTCAGAGATGCTCACTGTATGGGCCAGTTCCACCCTCTTCTCTGTTTTTTGGATATCAAAAAAAAAAAAAACACAAAAGAGTCATGCCATCAGTTAAACCATTAAAAATTCATTGGCACAACTACTTTTTGGCTTCAATGACAATACTCAAACCATCTTTTCCCTTTTTGGCCTTTCACATGTAGGGGTGGCAATTGGGCGGGTTTGGGTCAAGCTTCAACTCAACCCACCTAACCCATTAACATTTTAGCAAGTTTAGTTACATAAGATGTTAAAACTAACATATTCTAATCAACTTATCAAGACATAGCTTAATGGTAAAATTGTTTGTCTTTCATTTGGGTGTCTTGGGTTCAAATCACATTGAAAGCATTAATTTTTACATTAATAGAGGTGTATTTTCAATCCATGGCCGGGCTGCCCAACCTTGCCAATGGTTCAGTGAACTGACCGGTTCAGAGTGGTGAACTCCATTGGCGACTTGTCATATGTATATATATATATACAAACTCCATTGGCGACTTGTCAAGCTGGATTGGCTTGATAATGATCACACAGTGGAGTGGATGGTTGGTGCAGTATTCTGTGTGGACAGAACCTACTGTTTTAATGGCTGCAATCTCCAAATGGTCAATTGGTAGCCGATGTATTTACACCTCTAGAGGGTTGAGACAAGGGGATCCTCTTTCTCCTTTCCTTTTCACCTTGGTAGCCGATGTATTTAGTAGGCTCATTTCGAGAGCTGATGGGTTGGATATGTTTAGAGGA